TGAGTTATTTGTTGCCAAGTCATTAATATCTGGTGATTATCTAATGACCTGAACTCTGTCGTTAAATATTCATCATATACATCTATCTATCTGTCTATATATATATATATATACAGACATCTGTATAGACACAGTTGAGCAGATAAGAGATAAGTGATCAACATTACTGTACTTAGTTTACTATTATGTATTGGAAATTGTTGATTATTCAGATTATAACATACATAATACTGGAGATGAGTAGAATCAATTCATTGTCAACAGGTAGGTGTAATCTTGATTAAAATATTGATGATCGTTTGTTATAAACTACACTCATCAATAGTAGCGTTCGTTAATCAAGGTGTACTTTTCACTGAGTAGTCCATGATAATTACCTACATGCATTCAGATGTACATGTGATTGTAGTGCATTGCAAGTGGGTGGATAGAAGGAAGCAATCACGGTGAATGTTACAGCTTGAAAGGAATTCCACAACGAGAATCGCCTTTGCATGCGACATCTATTCATTAAATGGACAAGAACATCATAGGTCTTGTACACACACACACACACATATCGAATATTGATTTTCAGATGAGTCACGACAGTTTAATGGACTGCTATTTCACTTTTATGTTCGATGTCGGACTCCAGTTATCTTATATGATGATCGATATCGAAATATACATCTGGTCTAGCGACGGATACAATGATCAGCGTTAGTGAGTAATCCGATATTATAAGTCGAACAAGTGAATGGATTACTTCGACTACATGTCTATCTAATGAAAGACAAAAATTAATGATTCTCTTTTATTATCACGATCATTAGAATGTTATGATTGTCAATAAGTTGTCGAGTATCATTTAAATTCAGGGAATTCACTGATGAGTTAGACAGTTTAACGAAACAACCAGTACAACAATTTCTAACTATTTATTTTTTGTTCATCATGTTAATACTTCACATAAAATATCGATGTATCGAACAATGACGAACTGGAAGTTGGAGAATATTCACTTGCGGTAGACCATGAAAATCCACCGAGAATGGAACGTGCAGTTCCACTTCCACGATATGGTTAAATTACCTGTATTACTTCTATGAACATGAAATGTATGAATGTCATTTCACTTGACGATTGTGACTTTATTTCGTTGAAAAGTATTGTGGTGATCGTTCGTGGTCGATCTGTTGTTTAAAATAAAACATTTAAGTGATCATACCTTTCCATTTTGATTTGAATAAGTTGTGAATGATTAAGTTGTTGTAGTTTGATTATATTCAAATGCTTAGATCACATGAGATCTAGTGCTGACCTGCTCTCTGTTAGTAATGATTTCGGAGATGTTGTTTGAGGCGAACTAGGCGCTCTGATTTCATGTTGTCTATTGGTTTGTTAGAAGTCATGATAAGACTATTGAATCATATCACCATATGTGTGAATGGAGTAAGTGCTGGTCACTACAAAAGACGAAATACATAATAGAATAGGTTTGTTGAATTACATTGGTTGAGTGATCGCATTCACCATTCATCATCTAGTATATTCGAGTATATTCTACACTCATTTAATGAGTCATTAGCTTTAATGAAAGTGTTCTTTCACTCAGGAATCCATGATAATCACTTAATTTATTTGATTTATGTTTGAATATTACATGTTTGTTGACCGAATATCTAGTTGTTGTATTTCTTGAGTGAAAGTACTTGAATGTACTCGATTGAACGTATTAGTAATCAAATCAATTACATGTTAACTAAATGGTTGTCAGGAGAAAATTAGTGAAGCCCTTAGTTGATTACTACATTTACTCATCAACCTTACAAATTTGAATGGAGTGAATCTATATCCCCTTTTATTAAACTAGCTATTTACATATAACCAACTTCACCTATGTAGGTATGTTGAGTCCTGTTATAATTTCGATTTTCAAATATTATAGATTATAAGTAACTGACGAGAACCTAGTTGAATGAAATGAGTTTATGAGATGGTGGAGAAGATTTGTAGTTCATGTGGACGATTTTAATGGAGTTTTGTTCTCTGAGCTGGATGGTTTGGTCGTGGATCATTCATCGTTCTTCTGAAGGACATCATCAGAGAAATTCGAACGTTTCACTTCTATATGACGTTTGTGCTAATGATGTCGTTCAGGAGAACGATGAAAGCTCCACAAGCAAACCATCCAGCTCAGAGAACAAAACTCCATCGAAATGAGTTTATGTTAATCTACTCAAATATTTGTTCTCACCTTCTTCAATTACTGTTGAGTTGTAATCGTCATCATTCTGTATGGTAGATTATCCATCATCAAAGCAATCAGATCATACTCTCTTTCTAGACGAGTGTATACATCGGAATTCATTGTTTGTTCTACCACAACAATCATCATATTTCTATTCTTAAAAGGTGTACTTCAGTATCAAACTATTCGATAAATTTACCATACGCATTTTACTATCCGTTTGTTTTTTCTTCGTTTGTTTACCTTGTATATCTATTACTAATAATGCTGTACATTTAACTATCTGAAGAATGATAAATCGAAGAGACAGATACATTCATATTCAGATGGTGTGGATTTCGTCTACAGTGTAAATGACGATAAGAGTCTACCGAAAATCGACGTCAAATTCCAAGACCAGTAATTTTAATACTTTAAATCATGAATCAATTGAAGCTAGACCACCATGAAAACCTAGAAGCACTGGACGACCGTTTCGACCTATTGTGTGGCTCCTCAGCAGTGCGTATCCACGGCGTCTCCTTGCGAGATTCAAACTCACGGCCTATCGGTATCGCGCGAGAGATTAACAACTAAATGTGATTAGATCATTGTCATGATGTGATCGATTCGAATTATTGTTTTTATTCATCAATATTACCTGCTTAGATGGATCTGTTAAAGTGTATAATCCACCATCAGTTTCACTGTGTTACACGGGAATGTTGATTATTACTATTATTATTACAATCAGTTGAAGTAGTCGAGTAGTTCATTAAAGCAACTTTGCTTAGATATGGATGATAATAATCTTTCTAATTGTCATAGCTGGTAAACATATATCGCGAATTGTCAGATAATTTGAACAGGGTATTACTTTTCTTTACAAACTTAATTTATCTAGTTGTAGTGACTGTTACTATGTTCAAGCGATATTACGTATTCCAGCTTCTTGACAAGCTAATATATTTATTCACATTTTGACCTTGTTCATTATTCGCTTAACAATCTTGACTGTTGTTATATGAGTGTATGTGTGCGCATTACTTAACCTACTCATCACATGTGTCTAACTAATTTTTTTTGACTAGAAATATTGATTAACGCTTGATTAAATGCATTCATGCATTCTGCACTGCACGCTGTCTCGTTGAGCTCTCTATTCTTCGGCTCCTTCACTATGTCTCTCTGATTATCTGTTCCGATCAGCGATTGCACAAAATATACGTATTTGAAATCCATTATCGTATTTGACCTATCCGATTCCGTTATACACTAATGCGAGTTACGCCGATAATTTTATACGAGGATTGGCGATATGTCTATTTCGACAGCGATCATTCATACGATCAAATTGAAGTCAGATAGCGAGCCACTAAAGTGGTGAGTCCGTTGATAACATCGTGCAGCTCCTAAATTAAGTGCTACTAAATAATAATATGTAAATAACATCAAAGTTAAACGTGAAAGTCAGTGTAACCTCTTATCACTGTCATTGAGAGATAAACAACGAAGCAGACAGAACTAACAATACTTTCAGTCTTATAAATAATCAGGTCAACATTTGAACGAACAGCCTCTTTGTAGTTCAGTGCACCACATATATAAAAGTATTAAGAAGTGAGATTATTGCTTTCGATTTTTACTGACGGAAATTCATTTGTTTCAATGTTTTACTTGACAATCGAACATGCCATAATGAAGTTGATAGTACTGTGTAGTATTTGTTCATGAATTTTACTTGCAACAGTACTAATACTTATAACAGCTACAAAAGTACAAACTACACATACTGTAATTACACGTGTTTTCAGATGTTGGAGAAGATTTGTAGTTCATGTGGATGATTTTGATGGAGTATTGTTCTTTGAACAGCATGGTTTAGTCGTGAAGCTTTCATCGTTCTTCTGAATGACATCATCAGAACAAAGTTCAGGTAAAACTGAAGTGTTCAAATTTCCACCCATATGGCTCACAGCTTATCCTGTAGACCTGAATATTGATTGGTTCTTGTTGAGCTTAAGAAGCATTTTCAACTTTGAGATGATTTGAATTAAAATCAGGTTTTATTAATCTTTTACAAATCAATGGATGAACTCCTTTGGTGATGACACCTCCGATTTCTTTCATCTAATTTATATCATCAAATTGTTTTAGTTCTGATAAAATAAAGGAAACCGAGAAATACGGTTACCTTAGTGATTAACACACACACACACACGCACACTAGAAACTAGAATACACAATCGATAATCGATCAAACAGTGAATGAATTCGTATGTTTTATTTGTAAACCGAATGAACATTAAATACATCTAATAAGATGAGAGAAAGTTGAATCATATCAGTAACATTGAATGAACACTATTCATGTAATACACTTGAAGTTAATGATGAATACATTCAATGTTCAAGAGTATTACACAGGTATATACATTGACTGAAGTGAATCATTGAATGACGATGTTTTCTTCTTTTTTCATTTTGTTATCACTTTAATGTTCTATTGAAACATCTAAAGAATTGATCATACATAAATGATAGATGATTGTGATTCGGATTAAATAAACAGCTAAAGTATTGAATAACAAAACATAACGAAAGCAATGTGTATGTTGTGTCATATTGAACATAATGATCAAAATGAGTAATTCATTGATCAGAGTATGTAGGATTAGTGTGGGCTGATAACCGAATACACTACCATTACTCGAGATACATTCTAGTCTCTTGTTGGGATACAGTGTTGACAATCTATTCTGTACGGAGTACTTGTTCATTGAGGAGAATTTCTGATACGAATCAGGTATGTTGGATACTTGTAAATCTGTAGATGGATGTCTGAAATCATCGTCAGATATTACTGTCAAATATCCATGTGTGTGTGTGTGTGTTGAGAGCATGGTGCTTTCATGAGAATTCAGCATGCTCAGTAGGTGTGGAAGGTGTTGAAAATGTCATTTCGAAACACTTCATATTTCATCTTCAATCTCGAATTCACGATACCATTTGTAAAGTCTAAACATAACTTGGAGGTTTTCAGTAAAATTCTTATTACATTATTTCACGTGTCCCTTCAACTCTATTTCCATATTCACATATCAATCACACTAACAACAAACATCATTGATCAGTGTGACCTATCAACAAACGTCAATCACTCGATTATTTCTGCAAATCCTCTCTCATCACTGGTTGAACGGATTGAAATCTATTTTGAAGAAATCTTCACTAATGAAAATAGTAAATGGAAAGTGTAATTTTCCCAGAACACGATGTCCATCATAATCTGGATCCATTTCAAAATCAAACATAATCTCCCATCACATCAATCGCATCATTTCTTTTCTTGTTATTGTGACCTGATCGATTGACGGAATTTCACATGATAAACATCAAGTCAGTAGATGACAATTGATCCATGTGATTTGAAGTCACCAAACAACAACATTTAGTTTGTGTGATAATTACGAGACTATGAACTGTTATAGAAACTAGAAATCTCAGAAATCACACAATTTAACAGTGAAGTACTTGATGAGCACGAACGAATATATTGTATTTGGAATTGGAAATCAAGTAGTGCTCAATCGCCAGGGAAGCATTATTTCATACAAACACCACAGTTACCTAACGTAATTGGAAATAAACCTTGATCCGTATAACATATTACACATGGCAATACATTATCTAATAGTCCATGTGGTATAGCTGTTACATCAGTTCGACAGATTGAAATACGAAATGGACCCTCTGAAATACTACGTTGTATAAATAGGGAAAATATTTACAAGAAACAAAACACACCCATGACTAGATGTAAACGAGCAAATACATTGCGAAAAGATAACTGTAATTTCTTGTAGTTCTGTTGGTGCATGCTGTGCATGGTATGCATGGTATTAATTGTAAACGTAGGATGGATAATTTTGACTGAGATATCGAGGACAGTTAACTGAGTATTGTTGTGCTGAATAGAAATTCGGAACTGTGATGGACGGAGAGATGCTTGATCACATCCTAATGTTCGTGTTTGATTCCTCTCACTCCACTCTGTACGTATTAATAGATCGATTCGGCGAATAGCTGTTATCTTGCATCGAAAAGTCACAATCTCACACGTAATAATCACGCATGACTTTATTAATGTTCAAGTAGGTAGGTTACAACTTGCCAACCAATTTAGCTCTACATGATAATGGTAAACTGTTGAAAGTGTCATGGTAGGATACAATTCAAATCAGTAGTAAACTGTAATCAATTTACGGATCTCAATGTGATGGTATTTACCAACCGAATCAAACAGAAATCCTTTCACAAAAAGAACGATTGTCTGACTTTGGAGGATTTGTGTATTCGACAAAATCGTAAACCCACATAATGATAATGATAGGTGAGTTGTTACGCAATCTTCAACAACATTTCAATTAGTTCCCTTAATCTAATTGTTAGTCAGATGAATTCGAATGCCCATCTCCATCAAGCTCATTCATTACTACTCAATATTCAAATGTATAAACAATCACCTTGACAACGAGTTATTCATTGGATAATGAATAACTTGTTATTAGTATTGAAATATAACGTGAAATTTCACACACACTTCAACTGATTGTGATGCACTTGAAAATGGTCTACTCATTAACGGACTGAAATCATCGTGAGAAAATCTCTCTCTTTATTTATATATATAAATATGTATCTATATACAGTAATATACACTCATTGGATTTGCAAGTTATGAGCTCAGTAAGAGTATTGGTTATTGACATGGTGTAGATAAGCCACCTTATTTCATCTGAATCTTTTATACTGTTCTTCGTTTTAGTTGTTGTCAATAGACCAAATCTAAGCATCTATGTATTGGGAAGTAAGTTCCTGTGTGATGATGTTTGATGAAATGTAATTTAATGATGTTTACAGATGAGTATATCTAGCTGACTGTTTAATGTAGTAGAGTGGTTATTCGTTTGTTATCTTATTATAATTCGTGTACATCGGATGATATCATATTTAATTCACATGATCGAACTCAGTTCACGAAGCTGATCATCGTTATTTCACCATTCAAGTTTTCCAATTCACTGTAACTAGAGTCCTCATAGTTGATTCGACCAAACAAGAGGATGAAGAACTTTGACAGCATTTGATTTCCGAGTTAATGTAAGTCATTAAGGAAGAAGAATGTATTTGTAAAATGTCAGCGTTTTGGTTTGAATTAAATTCAACGTTTCGCTCGACGGTCTCGTTTAAGCTTCATCAAGGAACTAAGAATATTTACTTGAAATTCAATCGTTGACATTTTATAAATTCATTCTTCCTCCTTAATGTCTAATCAAGTGTTAGATTGATTATGAGTGGTATACAGAACAAATTATACCCATCGTGTCGTTCGTGACATTCGATAAAACAATCTACGATATTGATCATGAAATGATTAACCGATGCATAGTATTCTGTTGAAGGACTCAATCGATTCATTATTAAATTGTGAATGAAAGATGAGCTCTTGATGGCGTCAGTCTATATTTATTTGATGTATGTTCAAGCAGGTCGAACATTTAATCGGATAATCAGTTATGATCGCTTACCAACCTGAATATTGGTATACATATTTTATAGAAACTCGATCACAATTGAGATGGCATATATCATATCACGTTTATTATGAATCATGAAGTCTCTGTTTATCGTGTGTTAAATGATTGAGAGAGTGTGTATGTGAGAGAGAGAGAGAGTATAACAATCGACAGTGTCAATCTCATCGAGTGTCTAATCTTAATGCTGTATAGGCTATTACTTGATTTCAGTTGGATTCTCTTTTGTAAATGAATCTCACATGTAGTATATAGATTAACCCTTATGTTACATAATCACAGATTATTTCATTTTGATTAAAATCGTTCCAGCTCCTCAAATGATGAACTATACTGTTGCATCTATCCAAAAGGAAGTTCACAATGCACACTTTCTGAATTTTCTCTCCAAAATATCAAATCCGTTTGACAATCAATCAATAACAAGTTAGTTTTATTTATTGAATGTGTATATGCGATTTCAATGAGACTATAATTTATGGACGACCATTGAGTGACGTTGAAATGACGTTGGAAATGTTCACCTACTAACTAGAACTGAATGATGATTATAACCGAGTTTCAGGAATTACAATCAGGATTTACAGTTGTTGGTTGATGTTAGGAATTCCATTCGGGGTTTTCATCATCAACTGACATCAGTTGAAATGCTAAAATACAATTTAGCTGATGAATTTCACGCTGAATTGCAAGACCTGTTATCTTAAATTCACTTGTTTCTTTTAGAAATTATAGTCTCTTCGTGATTTTTTTTTGTATATTGATGTTTCATTATGAGACAATAGAATCACATCATTAAATGTATTGCTTTCTTCAGAATTTATAGTCTGTTTTTAATCAATTAAGGTAAGAGAAATGAATCAGGAATGAGTAGGACTATCTCTCTCTCTAATGATACTAGAATGAACGATTCATTTGTAGACTATCTAACCACTGCCGATAGACAACACTTCAATAATTATCTGTTAAGAAAGTAGGAAGTCGAATCAGAGCAACCTATAACATTAAAACTCAATATAACTCAGAAGAGTAAGACCAAACAACACATTACACTGATAAATGGAGACAGAAATGAGAAGAATGAACAACATTTGGATAGAACTAGAAAGGTAGATACAGGGCAGAGTGAGTTTGAGTATGGTGGTCAAGGTGCTACGCTCCGTTGGGGGGAACAAATGTAAGTAAGTAATGTTCAGTCGAGTGTTTGTTTTACAGTTTTCTATCAAAACTATCAGATTATTAAACATTCAACTCAAACTAATTAACAAAATCTCATATGTAACTTTATTTCTATTCCAGATGAAAGGAAAGTGTTCAAATACAATGAAACTGATCATAACTCTGAACTCCAGACCACTGTATTGCAACATAAAGCAAACGGTGCAACAAAATCACATGGGAAGAAAGAACGATTTCAGATGATTAGGGATAATTAACTAGTCTGTTTGTATACCTAGCAACAAAATGAACTACACCGATTTTTCGTTTATTATTATTCTTTACCAAAACGAATGCTGTTTCATAAGACAAACATATATAGATTGGTATTTCTCTTATATTTCGAAGGTTATCAGATTTACTTACTTGCGCCTGTTACTCTTCGTGGAGGAGCTTAGGCCGCCAATCAGAACTCTTCATATATCCTTGTCCTCGGCAATCATTTCCAGTTCTTTCCAAGCGCTATTCACCCTTTTCATATCTGTTTCCAATTCTCGACGCACTGTGTTCATTGACCTCCCACTTTTCCGTTTCCCTTCACGATTCCAAGTTGGGGCTTGTCTCGTGATGCAGCCCTGGGATTTCTTCAGTCTATTTCTCATCCGCTTCCAACGTCTTCTCCTAATTTCCTCCTCAGCTGGAAGCTGGTTTGTCATATCACACAGAAGTCTGTTGCTGATGATATCCTGTAAACTGATATTGAGTATCTTACGTAGACAGCTGTTTATAAATACTTGTTTCTCATTGAGGATGGTTGTAGTAGTTCTCCGCATTTCAGCTCTGAACAGTAGAACTGTCTTGACATTCATATTGAAGATTTTGTATTTGATATTGTTTGATAGTTGTTTTAACTTCCATATGTTCTTCAATTGTAGGAATGCAGTCCTTCTATAATTGTATGGTTAATATGTAAGTTTATAGAAAGATAGATAAAAGGTGATTCGAGACTGTAAATATCTAATACATTTGCATAATAATCCAAAGGTTAAAGCAAAATGGAAGGATGAAAACAATTTATCTTTCATAGTTCTAACCAGATAAGTTGTAATTTCATGGATTTACTCACTACAGAGATTTTTCTCTCTCTGATGATTTCTGCAGCACCAAAACAATTTGTTGTATACACAGCTCCATCTGAGAGGATTTCGTGATCCATAAACGAGTTTTCTATAGGTGACTCAATCCGGTGATATCTAAAAATGTATTTTCGTGAACTATGTTATTGTGTTACAAAATACAACCTGACGAATTCGGAATGTCGGAAATCAGGGGTAATGTTCGTGTTTCCGGGCAAACAAGACATGAATCACCATTAAATCTACATTCAAATGTCGTCAGTGTAATTACTCGTCTGAAACTCGATAGAGCACATGATATTATGGCCACTCTCCTGATATTTGTGAGTCATAATGCAAGATCGTCTGAAATGTGTTTCTTTATCGGTGT